ATGTCCTTCATAAATTTTTCAACTTTCCATTTCTCTTAAAGCTTAATTCTTTTTTTTTTTAAAGATTTATTTTTATTATTTTTTTTCATTGGAAAGGCGGATATACAGAGAGGAGAGACAGAGAGGAAGATCTTCCGTCCGATGATTCACTCCCCAAGTGAGCGCAACGGGCCGATACTATGCCGATCCGAAGCCAGGAGCCTCTTCCGGGTCTCCCACGCGGGTGCAGGTTCCCAAAGCTTTGGGCCGTCCTCGACTGCTTTCCCAGGCCACAGGCAGGGAGCTGGAAGGGAAGCGGGGCTGCCGGGATTAGAACCGGCGTCCATATGGGATCCCGGGCGTGCAAGGCGAGGACCTTTAACCACTTGCGCCACCGCGCCGGGCCCTTAAAGCTTAATTCTTAAGGAAATCAACTTTATCTAAAGACCTCAATTCTCACTACCGATGTTTGTCAGTCCCAATAAATGTTTCAACCCAATTTCCAAACCCTTACATCTGAACTAATACCCACACACCTCCACCCTAACCACTTCAAATTTTTAAAAAATATTTATTTTTATTTTTATTGGAAAGGTGGATATACAGAGAGGAGAGACAGAGAGGAAGATCTTCCGTCCGATGATTCACTCCTCAGGTGAGCGCAACGGCCCATGCTATGCCTATCCGATCCGAAGCCAGGAGCCTCTTCCAGGTCCCAAAGCTCTGGGCCGTCCTCGTCTGCTTTCCCGGGTCACAAGCACGGAACTGGATGGGAAGTGGGGCTGCTGGGATTAGAACCAGCACCCATATGGGATCCTGGGCATGCAAGGTGAGGACCTTAACCACTTGCGCCACCGCGCCGGGCCCAACCACTTCAATTTTTAAGTTGCATTTCTGGCACTTGAGTTTATCCCTCTTATTCCCCCTTCTTTTAAGTTTACACGAGATTTGCTCAACCTTTCCACATCTTCTTCTTGGGAGTTCTTCAATGTGGATTGCATCATGAGAAGCTCCAGGCTGATACGGGTTAAGAAGGAGCATCATAGTATCTGACTGCACATTGACAATTCCTAGAGTGAAGATTATACTAACATACTATAGAAGACCAAACTGTAAATTTGGTCATTGGTATAAAGAAGACGAGCATGGAGTGCTCAGTACTTGGACCTGGGCACAAAGAAAGGGGAAAAATGTTCATGGGAAGATCCAGTATTTCCCAAGTAAGGACTTGATCTTCACCTTGTTGGATGCTCCAGGCATGGATTGATCCTAGAGCAGCTGGGAAGTGTGATGCACAGTGTAAGAGAAGGTTTTCCCCTTCCCCTGAGGTCACATGGCATTGGTGCCTGGACCCTGGCTGAGCTGGGTGATGCTTTCCTGTAGAGGCTGCTGTCTAGGGGGAAAGTACTGATGGCAGAGGTGGCAGCATGGCTGACTACAGGAGGAGAAAACTAACATGGAAGATTCTAGGTCCTCTGTCTTCTCCAAGACCTCAGCTGACCCATGCTGGAGGACAGCCAGGAGACATGTGTGAGGCAGATTACTCACACACCTGAATTCCCTGAAATGGAATACTCAGTTGATATGACTTGACCAAATAGTAGTTGCTTAAGACACAAACTCTGTCATACATGAACATCTGTTATCCCAATGAGAACAAACCAAAAGGGGGCACTAGAGGGTGGATGTCCTGACATGGACATGCAACTTCTGCAGAAGATTTGGAGCTCAGTCAGGAACTGAGGTCCCTTACTCATCCCAGGAATAAAACTCAGCAAGGAAGCAGTGACATGCAGCAAACAAGTTTACTAATCATCTATGACAGGTAGGGGTGGTACAGAAGCATGTTACACATACTGTCTCACTTATTCTCAGCAATACATGATAAAGACACTGCTATTATTCCCATAGTAAAGGAAAGAAAATTAAATCAAGACATCAGGAACATTTCCAGAGTTGTGCTGTTGCTAGTGATCAGTGAGGAATTGATTTGTTTCAGGTATTCCATATAACTCATGAGACTATAATCAGGTAGTTGGAAAAATCCATGCAGTGGTCACTTTATTTAGCCATTTTATTCTTTAAGAAACTGAACCAGACCTTGCCATCAACAGTGGGAGGATGAGGGAAGAAAAAGGTACTGAGAGGAAGTGATATTCTGTGAGGTGAGGATTACTCATGGCTTCTTCATGCAGTTGTAACTTTGAACAAACGTGCTCCGATGCGTTTCACTCCCTCCTGTTTCTTACTGTCAGCGATCTCACTCTGAAAAGTACAACAATGCACTTCACACAAGGCACAAGGCACTGGTGTTCTTCCTCTCCCACCACCCAGCAACCCTTCCACCAGGAACAAACTGAATGTGTACCCTGGAAGCCTCTCTTCTGCAGAGGACTCCACGATCCCCCAGGAAGAAAGGAATCTGACATGAGGACAAGTCTCCCTGACAACCCACAGGACATCTCAGGAGCTGTGCTCACAGCGAAGCCCAGAGGCAAGGACCCCACACTGTCAGTGGCAGTAAAGTCCTTGGGGTGCTCTGTGGAACCCCTCCACTTGCACCAAGCAGAGAAAGGCTGAGAGGAGCGGGGGAAGGGAGTCGACAGTGGTTGCAGGTAGGTCTGTATGTTGGATGGATCCAGGTAGCTGTGAGTACCCCAGGATGGATGAAGAGGGGACAGTCACTTTGAGTGCACTGTAGGGGCCGGTGGGAGCATATGGAATACACCCACCTCAGAGAAATGGGATCTAAGCCCTTGGTGATCTTAACTTCCTCTCCCAAACAATGGGATAAAAGACATGTGCCCCTCTTAGGTTGATGGGAGGAGCAGAGGTCAGCTAGTGTACCTCTGACTCCAGCACCAGCACCCGATTTTCACAACTCTCTTGCCCATTTCACCCTTCTACAAAGCACCAAGGGGATAGGACACACACACTTGAATCAGTGCTCTTGGTCCCATAAGCCACAGAGCACCCAAATATAGTCATTGTCACAATGAAGTACACTGTTTCCATGGTCTGAGAGGTGTTTGCTCATAGCTGCCCCTCCCCTCTATGACCACAATTCCCAAAGGCCTCTCCCACCCCTAATCCCTGAGTCTGACCTGCTGGATTTGTGTCCTGCCATATCTCAGCTCAGTGGCAAAATGCTCGCAGTTTGACAACAGCAAGTGGTAGTAGCGAGTTTCTCCCACTTTGGCCTTGGCCAGCTGGATGATCTCTTGGACAGGCCTTGGGCGGTACTTGTTGTCCAAGTAGTTGTTGACTGAGTACTTGTCTCTCTTGACCACGTCCTCTAGGAGCTCATGCTTTACAGTACCTTTGGAATCTCTAACTGATTTGGCATCACTGCTGCCTGGGATGGACAAAAAAAAAATCTGAGATCACAAAAGAAATATGTTCAGGTAATGCACAATGGGTAAGAAAGGGTATGGGGCAGGAGAAAGAATATAATTGCTCCACTCTTGACGTCTGAGTTTGCCTTGCCCTTCCTGCTCTTCTCTTCCACTCATTTTACATGTTTAATTTAACATAGGCACAATTACTTAATGCATAGCACATTTAAGAACTGAATTCACAATAGTATGTTGACCTTATGTTCCCCTAGCTGGTACAATGTTTCATAGGAAAGAATGGCTCTTGTGATAATCCACTCTATGCAGGCACCCTAACTGACTTGCTAATTTGTTGCTAGGCCTCTTTGCTGTGTAGGCTTCTTCTGGACAGTAGACTAGTACATTACAGAAATATTTATCTCTTGTGCATCTTTGAGCACATATCTGACTCAAAAAACTTTTTTGAATATTTGCCAGGAAGAAGGAAGTTTCATTCTGCCTTTCTAGAATACTAACTTGGTTTAGAAAGAAAAAAAAAAGCTCTTTAAAATTTTCCAGATCAATTTTGAATCAGAAAAGTTAAGTAAAATACACAAGAGTTAGAAGTCAAAGCATAGGCTAGCAAGCACCATCTTGGACAGGGCTGTGCACATGAGATGGAGCTTCCACCCCACAAACTGTACAGATTTGCAATGGCAAGAGGGAGTGCAGGCTAGTCTCCAGACCTGGGACTTTCATGCTCCTAGCTGCTTAAATGCAGCTGGTGCCACCTTGGGTAAGGTGACCAGGGTGCCAACGGCCCTGAGCAAAGCCCTCTGGCTGCCCAACAATGATCTCCAGCATTTGGGGGTGTGGGCCTATAAGGGGTCTGGCAGTTGACACGGGTGAGGGTGTGTAGGAACCTGAGAGTTCATGTCCAGGTGCTGACTGACTTCCAAGGGCCTTCATCGACATTGCTACTCTTCTAGCAGGTAAGCAAGAGTGCTGAGCAGGGAACAGGAGGACCTTTAAGGATTGGGCCAAAGAACCAACTCACCTGGGAGGCCTGAGCTGGGGAAGGTAGCAACTACCATCACTGAATATCACTCACAGGCACACACTGAGGCTGGAATGGTGGCCTACCTTGTGGGGCTGGATCACAGTGCCTATCAGTAAGAGTTAGAACAGGGAATGGGTAACAAATGGCTGGGCCATGACACTGAACAGAACGTGAGTGAATCAGGACTGGAGGCAGAATTTGTGGGGGCATATGGGGACTTACCCCTGTGGAACAACAATTTTCTTTGTATGTGCAAGAGCAGTGGCTGGGAACAGGCCTGTTTGGAAAGCTAAGAGAATGCCCCAGCTGGGTCAGGGTTCCCAAAAGTGAGTGAGAGTCAGAATTGGGGCAGTAGTCTAGGTTGGACATGGCTGCAGTCTCCCTCGGCATGGGTGTGGACTGGGTCTGGGAAACAAGACTAGGCTATACCGTCAGCACCCACTGGTACACATGAAAGCCAGAATGGGTGTAGAACACACTGGGCTATATTTTGGCTCCTGTGGAACCATGTGAGAGCTGTGTCTGGTGTGGACCAGGTATGGCTGGGCTGTAGTACCAAACAGTGAGAACCGGAATGGGTATGGGCTGGTTGGGCAAGGCCACTGTTCCTACCAGGACAGGAGGTAGACAAAGTCAACCTAGGTCAATGATCCACTGGTGTGTGCAACATCTGCCACTGGGAGAAGACCTGATAGAGGAGACTAGTAAACTCCTTTGTCAGAATGCAGTCCTTGAAAATGAGCACAAGAACCAAGGTATGGAGCAGCCCAGACTAGGCCAGGTTTCAATACCCACCAGCACAGGTCAGGTGGGTCAGGTTTGGGGGCAGGTCAGGCTGAGCCAGCTTATAGCATCCATTGGCAGATTTGAGTACCAGGATAGGGTGCAGGAGGGCATGGTTGGGCCACAACAAAACCCAGTTCACATCAGGGCCAGGACTAGGGGCTGGCTGAGCCAGATTAAGCTGAAGCATCCACCAGCATGTGCTGAAACTGGGGGCCAGCTGGACCAAGCAAACCTGTAGCACTCACTGGTGCATGCCAAAGTAAGGTGAGCCATGACAGTCAGGAAAGGTGAGTACTGTATCCATGAACCCATGAGGTGGAGGTTCTGAGAGGGCCCAGGTTGCTTGGCTTGGTTCCTAATCTGTGAGTATGGTGGGTGTACTGGATCCTTGGGCCCATGGGTGCTGGGTCTGAGAACCCCAGGCATGTGGGGCCAGTGGGGCCAGGGTCAACTGGCTCAGGTCCTTGGCCCACCTGTGAAACTTGTGTTGCTCAGTGGAAAAGAACGTGCAGTGGACATTAGCCCAGATCTACACGGAGGATGTGGTAGCCCATTGAGCCCTTCAGGGACATTTACACTATCCCAGAGAAAGGACAGAACAAATTGGACTATTACCACAGCTAAACGACAACAGAAAATATTTGGCGAATGGAGACTCTAGGATGACATGTCAGCCAAAGGACATTGAAAGGGTTGGCTCATCCTGGAACCAGCAAGATTGAGACATTTCAGAACCAATGAAACAACATGGGCAGAACCCTCTGAGTGTGTGCCACATTGGGACCATGGGTGGATATCGGATGTCTATTCCCCATCCCTGGGTACTTGGGTGGTTAGGAGCCTGGGTATCACTTCCCCAAATATGCCCCACCCTCATGAAACAGGAAAGAGAAATAGAAAATTTGAAAACAATGATCACACACACTTTTCCTTATCCTTGTTCCACACCACTCTGATCAACTATGTTAACATCATTTAAAATAAAATAATAAGAAGAAGACAGGGAAGCTTGTTAAAGAAGAAGTAAAAGTACAAACATTAGAATTAACTCCACAAACCTAGGCAATTTGTACACTATCCTAAAAAAAAAAAACAAAACCCATTTGTGTCCCAAGAAAAAGGAGAAATTTGTCACTTTCTTACTTCTTCTCATCTAGTAAAACTCTGGACACAGAGAATTGTCAACAGGTGAATTAACCTTGCCTTTGCATAAAGAATAAAGTTTTGCGTATCATAATGCAGGGAGGAATAGAAGCCAATAAATCCAAAAAACTGGTGCTTTAGTTACAGTTCACAATGACTTCCTGGCAGGTTAGCAACTCATGCTTACCTGAACCAGACAGATGGACTACATAACCATCTCCAACATAGACGACCCAATGTGTATTGTCCAGGCGGGAAATCTCAATGAGGTCTCCAGGCTGTGGGTTTTCACTTGACTGCAACACAAGAACCACAGAGACAAACTGAGGCTTTCGGGAATGTGCCATGAGGATATGCATGGCTACATGGCAACTAACACACCACACAGCAATGACCAACAAAAAAACAAAACAAAACAAAACAAAACAAAAAAAAAACCAAAACAGGAAGGAGTTCTCCTTGACAGAGAGAATCCCTTAATAAAAGCTTGCAGGGGTACCAGGAACAAGGTATAGCCATGCTGTGATTCTGTATATGCATATGCAGGTGTGTAGGTGTAATTGTACCTGTATAAATACACAAGGCAAAGAGGCCCTGCAGGCATCATCACCAGCCCCACTACACAAGGGATAACCTCCATGTTCCAGACAGACGCACACCTATGCAAAATCGAAATACTCGCTATTGAACCCATTCCTTAGCCTGGGTGTCAGCTCTGCCGTATGGCTATGCACCATGATTTTTATTTCCTGTGCCCACACTTTTGGCTGGGACACACTACTCTTCCCAGGGTTATCAGGCTCCTGGAGGAGGAAAAGCAGTCACTCATAAGCACAGTTCTCTAGTGCAAAGGAACCAGTCCACAGGCACCACAACCACCTGCTTCCCCAGTGTCTCATCCCAGAACAGGTAGCTAACTGTCTATGCCAGGGTCAGGTCCATTGTGGCCCTGAACCTGTGGACATTGCCTAAGTAAATCAATCCCACACGTGTACCCTGTCCCACGCATTCTTCCCTATAGATGCTCTTGAAGGGCCTTGCCCACTGCCCCTCCCAAGTCATTCCTCTACCTTCTGCTCAACCATAAAACTCTCCATGTGACCAGCCAGGAAGCATCTCTGAGTAACAAAGCATCCTTTCCATGGCAATTTTCTCTTGTTCCTGTTTGGCCCTTCTGATCAGATCACATTATCTTTCATCCTGAATATTTTAAGACAAGCTGCTCCTGGGGCAGCCTCTGCTTCATAGTCTCGCCCCAAGCTCTGGGTACTCATTCATTGCATACAGCAGAAGCAGAAGACTTCTTAAGGCCACACCACTGACAGTGGGTCCAATGCCAGGTGTATGACAAACACACAGCCCTAAACAAGGGGGAGGAGGGCAGCAGCTGACAGCCGAGGAAGACTTGCTTCATGGAGTGCAATAATCCGCCAGTCTTACAAGGGAGACCAGGTTTCCCATTCACCAGTGCTGGCAGTTTGGAAGACTTACCCCCAATCCCTCAGATGCACCCAGTTCTGTGTACTCAGTTCTTCACATGCTCTTCCCACAACAGGTGCAGCTATCCTCCACATTTAGTCTCCCTTCCCTGAGACTGGGGGTGCCACACCCCAGACTCCAGTTGGTCCCCAGGCAATGGAGGCTGCTTTCTGTGCCCTCTTCTCTGTTTCCTCTGCTTTGGGTCCTGGCATCCAAGCATGGCACCTGCAAACCCAGCACTCATCACCCATCCATCCCCCTACTGGATGCCTGGTGTCATCCTTCACTTCTCAACCAACCACCAAGGATAGTATCCACAATCCAAACATTTGTTGTCTCCTGAGCAGGAAGACTCAGCCTGGGTTCAGCAGCTTGTCCAGGCCAGCAGGGACACGGGCTCTTCCCATCACATGGTTCCCATGAGTACAGTGTGGGCTGCGTAGTCCACTGGCAGAGGAACTGCAAGGGCCACATGTCACTCAGCAGGGGATGAAAGGATGAGCAGCAGGTGCTCTCCATCACTTGGGAATAAAATCTTCCCCATAATGTTCAGGCTGGCTTGCTTGCATCCTTCCTTGGCCAGAACCACTGACATTTCTGCCACAAACCAATCAAGGCAAAGGGGAAGGAGTAACCCTGAGAGGCTCACACCACCCACAGGGCATCACCTGGGTCTGTGGGGAGAATCCCTGCTGTCCATGGACACCACCCATCACCCAGGGCTCTATTCACTCAGAAGGAGGTACCTGACAATGGTGTGTGTGAATGTGTAGGTTAAGTAGCTATTGGTGGGTCAACAAACACCTTAGACATATACCTGCTTCTTATCCACAACCACAACCAGGGTCATTATAAGGCCATCAAGAAACTAGGCCAGTTCTCCATCAGAATCCTGTCAGGAAAGTGGAGTCAAAGTGGAGTACCGCCTAAGGATAGGGAGTGGTGTCTTGGGAGAGACCACAGAGGTCTCTGCAGGTGGTCAGGATCCCAGCAGAGGGGACCCACAGCTCAGACTGAGGAAGCCCACCAGCTAGTTTAGCTCCTGGGGAGGAGTGACAACCAGCCAGCTTAGGGCAAGGCACAGAAGCATGGGGTCATCCAAGGAGAGACTAGCAATGAGGGAGGACGAGGTTGGTGCATTCCAGGGGCAGGTGCACAATAATGGGAGCCCTGCTGAGGAGCCTTGGTGGAGTTAGGCACCCTCTCAGAGCCTCTGTAGCACAGATAGTGCAAATGCTGACTTTAACCATCCCCAGGGCTAATGGAGGAACCACTGCTTCAAACAGAGTTCACCTGCTAACAGGAATACTAGGATTCACACATTTTTCTGTCTTATCATAACGCTGTGAGTCCCAGTCTAGTAGATTGCTTAGTAAATTTCTCACTCTACACGTGTTGGAGTCCCACATGGCACCAGGTCATATATCTTCTGCTCCACTTCTCTTCTAGCATGCTGTTTCTTTTCTTAGAAAGCATTGAGCACAGCCGAAAGCTGGGACTGTTTACCCAAGTGGGAAAACTGGAAGAAGCTCCTGCCTCCTTCGTTCAACTCAGCTCAGCTCTGGTCATTGAGGCCACTTGGGGAGTGAACCAGCTTATGAAATATCTTTTTCTGTGTATATCCTTCCATAATTAAAATTTACTATTCGTAATAAACAAATAAATCTTGAAAAAAAATACCTGTGATACAGATCAGACCTGAACTCTTGTGCCATTTTTTGGGGATAAGGAAACCAAGTTTCAGATAAATCAAGTGACTTCAAGAAGGTTTCCCTGCTACTCAGTGTCAGGGAAGAAGAGACAGTACATATGGATTAGGAGAGCATCTGCATCAGGCACCCCTGCTCACTCCCATGTGGATGACCCTTTGGGTAATTGCCTCAAACTTGCAAGGTGCTATCCTAGGATGTTCCAAAGTTACTGCACTTCTCCTCCTATTTTCACAAAATGAACAAGTGTCCTAAAATCCATTTGACCTGATCATAATGGGCACCTGGTAAAACGTGAAGTCCATTCCAATGTCAGGACTTGAAGAGCTAAAAGCTTTTAAAAGCCTGGTACTGAATTATTGCTGTGTGAATACTAGTAGTGCTATAGTACCTGTACGGTCGTGTTTGTATGTATTCTAAGGAAGAGAATAAACACCAAAATTTGAAAAAAAAAAAAAAACAACGTTTTTGGCTGCTGGAAGAAGACATCCCCAGGGGAATGTTACCAATAGGCGAGGGTGCTTGCCATATCGTAGATCGTTGACAAATTTCTCACTGGTTTTGCTGCAGAATTCATAATCTTCTTTGTCACAAGCCAGCCTCTTTGCAGATGCAATGATTTCATTAACAGACTGGGTTCTGTATTTATGATCCAGGTGGTTGTTGACCCGGTAGAGAGGGCCCTCTGCTTCATGCTTCAAGGGCTCCTTGGTTGCCTTGGCCTTGCCCCATGCATAGGTTAAGAGGTTTAAAACGCCGGTGAAGGAAAACTCAACTGGAAAACACAGACAGAAAACAACACACAGGTAGGAAGGCAGACAGAAGGCAGGAGAAAAAGAGACAAAACTTTCCTGTGACTGATCTTTCACAAGGAAGACACGAGATGGTTCTTTGTGTTTAATGAGATGTGAATATGTAACATGTCATACATTCAGTCTTCAATGGCTGCATCATACAACAGTCTCATGATTTGCATTCTAAATGTGTACACATGTCATCCCAGGACCGGTAGTGTGGTGTAACACTATAAGAAGCTGCTTTGATGCTGACATCCAATATCAGAGAACCAGTTTTTGTCCCAGTTACTCCACTTAGGATTCAGCTCCCTGCTAGTGCACCCGAGAAAGCAGTGGGAGATGACCCAGGTGCCTGGGTCCCTGATGCCCACATGGACAACCCAGACGGAGTTACAGGTTCTTGGCATGAGACATTTGAGGAATAAACCAACAGAAAGAAGAATGCTCTGCATCTGCAGAATGGGTGTGTGCATCTAACTTGTCAGGCTTCCTCTAGTATTCACTTTCTATCATTAACAATGCATCCACACATCTTTTCCTATCACTTAAATGACATGTCCTCCTTAACTGAAAATATTTTTTAGGATTTATTTATTTATTTCAAAATCAGATTTACAAAGAGAGTAAGGGCAGAGAGAGATACAGAGAAGAGAGAGAGAGATACAGAGAGAGAGAGAACTTCCAGCCATTGGTTCCCTTCCCAGATGGCTGCAACAGCCAGACCTGGGTCAAGCCGAATGCAAAAGCCAGAGGTTTCATCAAAGTCTCTCGGATGGGTGACAGGGACCAAAACTGAGCCATCTGCCACTTTTCCCAGGCCATTAGCAGGGATCGGGATTGGTTGTGCAACAGCCAAGACATGAACCAGCACACATATGGCGTACTGGTGTTGCAGAAAGCAGCCTTACTTGCTGTGCACAGCACCAACCCCCTATCGATACGTGGAAAATCACATCTTAAGCTGACCTTACCTGAGCAAGGAGTCAGGTGAATCACCTCATCATTTCCCACGTAGATGGCCCAATCCACATAGCTAGGGTGAAAAATCTCAATGATGTCTCCACGTTCTGGCTTCTCTGACAACTGCAACAGCAAAATCAGGATGAAGTAGATGGGGCCACAGCACAGACACTGGCTGGGGAACAGCAGCTCAGCCCAGGTGCTCTGGCAGTGCTCATCTTAATGAGAACCACGGAGGACAGAGCTTCTGCCCCACCATGGGCAAACATACTCAGATGACTGCCAATCCCACTACAAGCTCAGTGATCTCACTCTGAAAAATACAACAATGCACTTCACACAAGGCACAAGGCACTGGTGTTCTTCCTCTCCCACCACCCAGCAACCCTTCCACCAGGAACAAACTGAATGTGTTCCCTGGAAGCCTCTCTTCTGCAGAGGACTCCACGATCCCCCAGGAAGAAAGGAATCTGACATGAGGACAAGTCTCCCTGACAACCCACAGGACATCTCAGGAGCTGTGCTCACAGCGAAGCCCAGAGGCAAGGACCCCACACTGTCAGTGGCAGTAAAGTCCTTGGGGTGCTCTGTGGAACCCCTCCACTTGCACCAAGCAGAGAAAGGCTGAGAGGAGCGGGGGAAGGGAGTCGACAGTGGTTGCAGGTAGGTCTGTATGTTGGATGGATCCAGGTAGCTGTGAGTACCCCAGGATGGATGAAGAGGGGACAGTCACTTTGAGTGCACTGTAGGGGCTGGTGGGACACAACCACTTCAGAGAAATGGGTTTTATGCTCTAAGCCCTTGGTGGTGGCCTCAGCTTCCTCTCCCATAGAATGGAGTAAGATATCTGTGCCTCTCCAAGGCTGAGGGGAGGAACAGAGGTCAGACAGAATGGCTCTGATTCTAGCACCACCTCCCAATTTTCACAATTCTTTCTCACCCAATTCACCCCACTACAACTCACCAAGAGGATGGCACACAAAACTCGCTCTGCTTTCTGGATGACAGAAGCAAGTCTCCCTCAGTTAGGTGGTTGTGCAGCTCTTCCAGCCAGTGCTGGAGCCACAATCTGAGCCAGCTGTTACTGGGGGTCAGACAGGGAGCCCGTCTCCCATGATGATGAGGCGCATTGGGAAGGATTTCTCCTAAAAATGCCCACCAAGGGCCCGGCAGCATGGCCTAGTAGCTAAAGTCCTTGCCTTGAACGTGCCGGGATCCCTTATGGGTGCTGGTTCTAATCCTGGCAGCTTCACTTCCCATCCCGCTCCCTGCTTGTGGCCTGGGAAAGCAGTTGAGGACGGCCCAAAGCCTTGGGGCCCTGCACCCGTGTGGGAGACCTGGAAGAAGTTCCTGGATCCTGGCTTTGGATCGGCATAGCATCGGCCATTGCACTCACTTGGGGAATGAATCATGGGACGGAAGATCTTCCTCTCTGTCTCTCCTCCTCTCTGTATATCTGACTTTCCAAAAAATAAAGAAATCTTAAAAAAAAAAATGCTCATCAAAGAGGAGATGGGAGCCAGTGTTGTTTTGCAGTGAGTTAAGCTGCCACCTGAAGTGCCATCACCCTGCAGTAGAATGGCTTTCTTCTTCTGAACCAACTCCCTGTTAATTAATTTGGGAAATCAGCAGAAGATGGCAAAAGCACATGAGTTCCAGTGTCCATGTAGGGACATCTAAATGAGGCTCCTGGCTCCATGTTACCTCCTGGACAACTCCTGGTGATAGTGCAGATGATGAAAGTTCGATCTTTCCCCCACTTTGGTCTTTCTTTTTGTTTGTGTTTTAAATAGATAAGTCTTTGATAAAATGTGGTTTTTCTTTTTTCAAAGAAGAGAAAACAATGTGTCCCCCTTGGACAACCAGGTTGACAAGCAGCCCTGTTTATGGCACCAAAGCAAGTATGTTCAACCAGGAAGCTAAACAGGTCCTGTTTCTGAACAGCCTTGCTATGGAGTAGCTGTAGAGTTAACATTCCAAGGAGGCACATTGCTTCCATGTCCCATTTTTGTGTCTAAGCATACTGGTATGTGCTAACAGCTGCCCCCACACTAAGTCTATGAAGAGAATTCCGAGATGCTTCACTCATCCCTCAACCCAGAAACTGACCTGCTGACTGTTGCACAAGCCATATCTCAGTTCCGTTACAAAGTGCTCGCTGTTAAACAACTGCTGGTGGTAGTAGCGAGTTTCTCCAACTTTAGCGACTGCCAACTGCACAATTAATTCTATGGGATATGGTTGGTATTTGTTGTCCAAGTAGTTGTTGACCCAGTACTTGTCTCCTTTGACCAAAACCTCTAGGGTCTCACGCTTCACTATGCCATTGGATTCTCTGAAGGAATTGGCACTGCTGCTGGATCTTGGCTCAGAAGAAGACACACGTTCAGGTGCTAAAGCAAAAAGAGAAGAAGGAAGGACACAGCAACTCAGCTCTTCATCGCTAAACTTGCATTGGACTTCCTACTCACCTCTTCATACTTTTATGTGTTCAGGTTAACACAATCAAAATTATGTCACACACAACACATTTAGCAACTGAATTCTTAACAGCATGTTATCCACATGTTCCTCTAGCAAGAAATATGCAAAATTTTGCAGGAGAGATTGGGGCTTCCATGATATTCCACTCTATGCAGGTACTCTTACTGAATTGCTTAATTTATTGATAGGCATCTTTGTTGGGTAAGCTACTACTGGGCTGTAGATGAGTACATCATAAAAACATTTATCTCTTGTGAATCTTTGAGCAAATGTCTGAATCAAAGATTTAAAAATTTTGAATATTTGCCAGGAGGAAGGGAGTCTCATTCTGCTTTTATAGAATTCTATCTTGGTTAAAAGAAAAAAATCTGCTTCTCTGTCTTCCAGAACAAATTTGGAGTCAGAAAAGTTATGTAAAATATCGAGGAGTCAGAAGTCGTGCCACAAACTTCTGAATCAACTCCTGAAACCTAGAAATTTGTACACTATGCTGTAGAACATTTGTGTCCCAATGGCAAAGGAAAACTTTCTTGTCACTTTCTTACTTTAGTCACCCAGCATAGTTCTGGACACAACAGAATTGTCAACAGGTGAAGTGCACTTGCCATTGTTTACAGAATAAAAGCTTTGGGTATCATCACACAGAGAGGAACAGAAGCCAACAACTCCAGTGAAAAATGCTGCTTTTGTTCACAGTTCACAACACCATACTGGCAAGTTGGCAACTCATGCTTACCTGGACCAGGCAGATGGACCACGTAACCATCTCCAACATAGACAGCCCAGTGCGAATAGGTCAGGCGGGAAATCTCAATGAGGTCTCCAGGCTGTGGTCTTTCACTTGACTGTAACACAAGAACCACAGAGCCCAGTCAGGTTTCTTGCAAGTGCCAGCAAATAGCTGACAGTGGGAGTGGCAGCATAGCTGCACAGCTGCCCACACAATGCCCAGCAGTGTTTAGCAAGCAACGTGGGAAGGGAGACTCCATGACTGGTGGACTCACCGGAGGAACCCTGACAGGGGAACCAGGAACAGGATTTGCCCAGATGCACTTTGGGTTTGTGACCTCTGTGTATGTGGGTGTGTATCTGGGGTTGTGCGTGTGATTGAACTGCAAACACATCTACAAGGCAAAGAGGCCCTGCAGGCACCATCACCAGCCCCACTACACAAGGGATAACCTCCATGTTGCAGACAGACGCACACCTACGCAAAATCGAAATACTCGCTATTGAACCCATTCCTTAGCCTGGGTGTCAGCTCTGCCGTATGGCTATGCACCATGATTTTTATTTCCTGTGCCCACACTTTTGGCTGGGACACACTACTCTTCCCAGGGTTATCAGGCTCCTGGAGGAGGAAAAGCAGTCACTCATAAGCACAGTTCTCTAGTGCAAAGGAACCAGTCCACAGGCACCACAACCACCTGCTTCCCCAGTGTCTCATCCCAGAACAGGTAGCTAACTGTCTATGCCAGGGTCAGGTCCATTGTGGCCCTGAACCTGTGGACATTGCCTAAGTAAATCAAACCCCCACGTGTACCCTGTCCCACGCATTCTTCCCTATAGATGCTCTTGAAGGGCCTTGCCCACTGCCCCTCCCAAGTCATTCCTCTACCTTCTGCTCAACCATAAAACTCTCCATGTGACCAGCCAGGAAGCATCTCTGAGTAACAAAGCATCCTTTCCATGGCAATTTTCTCTTGTTCCTGTTTGGCCCTTCTGATCAGATCACATTATCTTTCATCCTGAATATTTTAAGACAAGCTGCTCCTGGGGCAGCCTCTGCTTCATAGTCTCGCCCCAAGCTCTGGGTACTCATTCATTGCATACAGCAGAAGCAGAAGACTTCTTAAGGCCATACCACTGACAGTGGGTCCAATGCCAGGTGTATGACAAACACACAGCCCTAAACAAGGGGGAGGAGGGCAGCAGCTGACAGCCGAGGAAGACTTGCTTCATAGAGTGCAATAACCCGCCAGTCTTACAAGGGAGACCAGGTTTCCCATTCACCAGTGCTGGCAGTTTGGAAGACTTACCCCCAATCCCTCAGATGCACCCAGTTCTGTGTACTTAGTTCTTCACATGCTCTTCCCACAACAGGTGCAGCTATCCTCCACATTTAGTCTCCCTTCCCTGAGACTGGGGGTGCCACACCCCAGACTCCTGGAGGCTGCTTTCTGTGCCCTCTTCTCTGTTTCCTCTGCTTTGGGTCCTGGCATCCAAGCATGGCACCTGCAAACCCAGCACTCATCACCCATCCCCCTACTGGATGCCTGGTGTCATCCTTCACTTCTCAACCAACCACCAAGGATAGTATCCACAATCCAAACATTTGTTGTCTCCTGAGCAGGAAGACTCAGCCTGGGTTCAGCAGCTTGTCCAGGCCAGCAGGGACACGGGCTCTTCCCATCACATGGTTCCCATGAGTACAGTGTGGGCTGCGCAGTCCACTGGCAGAGGAACTGCAAGGGCCACATGTCACTCAGCAGGGGATGAAAGGATGAGCAGCAGGTGCTCTCCACCAGTTGGGAATAAAATCTTCCCCATAATGTTCAGGCTGGCTTGCTTGCATCCTTCCTTGGCCAGAACCACTGACATTTCTGCCACAAACCAATCAAGGCAAAGGGGAAGGAGTAACCCTGAGAGGCTCACACCACCCACAGGGCATCACCTGGGTCTGTGGGGAGAATCCCTGCTGTCCATGGACACCACCCATCACCCAGGGCTCTATTCACTCAGAAGGAGGTACCTGACAATGGTGTGTGTGAATGTGTAGGTTAAGTAGCTATTGGTGGGTCAACAAACACCTTAGACATATACCTGCTTCTTATCCACAACCACAACCAGGGTCATTATAAGGCCATCAAGAAACTAGGCCAGTTCTCCATCAGAATCCTGTCAGGAAAGTGGAGTCAAAGTGGAGTACCGCCTAAGGATAGGGAGTGGTGTCTTGGGAGAGACCACAGAGGTCTCTGCAGGTGGTCAGGATCCCAGCAGAGGGGACCCACAGCTCAGACTGAGGAAGCCCACCAGCTAGTTTAGCTCCTGGGGAGGAGTGACAGCCAGCCAACTTAGGGCAAGGCACAGAAGCATGGGGTCATCCAAGGAGAGGCTAGCAATGAGGGAGGAAGAGGTTGGTGCATTCCAGGGGCAGGTGCACAATAATGGGAGCCCTGCTGAGGAGCCTTGGTGGAGTTAGGCACCCTCTCAGAGCCTCTGTAGCACAGATAGTGCAAAAGCTGACTTTAACCATCCCCAGGGCTAATGGAGGAACCACTGCTTCAAACAGAGCTCATCTGCTAACAGGAATACTAGGATTCACATATTTTCCCTCAATAAGGCCCAGTATTGAGTCCATACTGGCTCACTTGCTTTATTTTTACAGTTCGGAATGGAGTCTCAAGTGTCTCTAGTTACTTCAAGAATGTTTTCCCACTGATCAGTGGCAGTGTCAGGATAATATTATTTCTTTGGTAGAACAGCATCTGCATCATATTTCCCTGCCAAAAGCCATGCACATTATTCTTTGAAATAAATTCCCAAACTTGCAAGATGTTCTCCAAATAAGCACCACAGCTTACTGCCCTCCTCCTCTTATTTTCACAAACTGAAATAATGTCTTCAAGCACATGAACCCTGCTTGCCATAGGCACCTAAAAAATAAAAAGAAACAAGTCTACTGCAATATTGGGACTTGAAGAACTAAGAGCTTCTAAAATGCCAGGTACTGCAGTATTGCTCTATGAATACTATTAGTGTTGCAGCATGAATAGTGGGGTTTTAGTGTGCAGTCTTAGGATGAGAAACACCAAGAAAGTTTGAATAAAAACTGTTTTGGGGATGGAAGAGGACAATCCTAAGGGGGCCTTACCAATGCACGAGGATTCTCGCCATATCGTAGATCGTCGACAAATTTATCAAATTTTTTATTAAGTACTTCATAATTCTCCCTGTTTCGACATAGCTTCTCTGCAGAAGCAATGATGTCACTCACGGGCTTCGGTCTGTGTTTATGATCCAGGTGGTTGTTGACTCTGTAGGCACTGCCTTCAACCATGTACTTTAAGGGCTCCTTGGTTGCCATGGCCTTGACTCGCTGATTGGTGAAGAAGTTAGTAATGCCACCACTGGGAGGCTCACCTGTGAATCACAGACAGGAAACAACAGACAGGTAGGAAGGCAGACAGAAGGCAGGAGAAACAAAGACAAAACTTTCCTGTGACTGATCTTTCACAAGGAAGACACGAGATGGTCCTTTGTGTTTAATGAGATGTGAATATGTAACATGTCATACATTCAATCTTCAATGGCTGCATCATACAACAGTCTCATGATTTGCATTCTAAATGTGTACACATGTCATCCCAGGACCGGTAGTGTGGTGTAACACTATAAGAAGCTGCTTTGATGCTGACATCCAATATCAGAGAACCAGTTTTTGTTCCAGTTACTCCACTTAGGATTCAGCTCCCTGCTAGTGCACCCGAGAAAGCAGTGGGAGATGACCCAGGTGCCTGGGTCCCTGATGCCCACATGGACAACCCAGACGGAGTTACAGGTTCTTGGCATGAGACATTTGAGGAATAAACCAACAGAAAGAAGAATGCTCTGCATCTGCAGAATGGGTGTGTGCATCTAACTTGTCAGGCTTCCTCTAGTATTCACTTTCTATCATTAACAATGCATCCACACATCTTTTCCTATCACTTAAATGACATGTCCTCCTTAACTGAAAATATTTTTTAGGATTTATTTATTTATTTCAAAATCAGATTTACAAAGAGAGTAAGGGCAGAGAGAGATACAGAGAAGAGAGAGAGAGATACAGAGAGAGAGAACTTCCAGCCATTGGTTCCCTTCCCAGATGGCTGCAACAGCCAGTCCTGGGTCAAGCCAAATGCAAAAGCCAGAGGTTTCATCAAAGTCTCTCGGATGGGTGACAGGGACCAAAACTGAGCCATCTGCCACTTTTCCCAGGCCATTAGCAGGGATCAGGATTGGTTGTGCAACAGCCAAGACATGAACCAGCACACATATGGCGTACTGGTGTTGCAGACAGCAGCCTTACTTGCTGTGCACAGCACCAACCCCCTATCGATACGTGGAAAATCACATCTTAAGCTGACCTTACCTGAGCAAGGAGTCAGGTGAATCACCTCATCATTTCCCACGTAGATGGCCCAATCCACATAGCTAGGGTGAAAAATCTCAATGATGTCTCCACGTTCTGGCTTCTCTGACAACTGCAACAGCAAAATCAGGATGAAGTAGATGGAGCCACAGCACAGACACTGGCTGGGGAACAGCAGCTCAGCCCAGGTGCTCTGGCAGTGCTCATCTTAATGAGAACCACGGAGGACAGAGCTTCTGCCCCACCATGGGCAAACATACTCAGATGACTGCCAATCCCACTACAAGCTCAGTGATCTCACTCTGAAAAATACAACAATGCACTTCACACAAGGCACAAGGCACTGGTGTTCTTCCTCTCCCACCACCCAGCAACCCTTCCACCAGGAACAAACTGAATGTGTACCCTGGAAGCCTCTCTTCTGCAGAGGACTCCACGATCCCCCAGGAAGAAAGGAATCTGACATGAGGACAAGTCTCCCTGACAACCCACAGGACATCTCAGGAGCTGTGCTCACAGCAAAGCCCAGAGGCAAGGACCCCACACTGTCAGTGGCAGTAAAGTCCTTGGGGTGCTCTGTGGAACCCCTCCACTTGCACCAAGCAGAGAAAGGCTGAGAGGAGCGGGGGAAGGGAGTCGACAGTGGTTGCAGGTAGGTCTGTATGTTGGATGGATCCAGGTAGCTGTGAGTACCCCAGGATGGATGAAGAGGGGACAGTCACTTTGAGTGCACTGTAGGGGCCGGTGGGACACAACCACTTCAGAGAAATGGGTTTTATGCTCTAAGCCCTTGGTGGTGGCCTCAGCTTCCTCTCCCATAGAATGGAGTAAGATATCTGTGCCTCTCCAAGGCTGAGGGGAGGAACAGAGGTCAGGCAGAATGGCTGATTCTAGCACCACCTCCCAATTTTCACAATTCTTTCTCACCCAATTCACCCCACTACAACTCACCAAGAGGATGGCACACAAAACTCGCTCTGCTTTCTGGATGACAGAAGCAAGTCTCCCTCAGTTAGGTGGTTGTGTAGCTCTTCCAGCCAGTGCTGGAGCCACAATCTGAGCCAGCTGTTACTGGGGGTCAGACAGGGAGCCCGTCTCCCATGATGATGAGGAGCATTGGGAAGGATTTCTCCTAAAAATGCCCACCAAGGGCCCGGCAGCATGGCCTAGTAGCTAAAGTCCTTGCCTTGAACGTGCCGGGATCCCATATGGGTGCTGGTTCTAATCCTGGCAGCTTCACTTCCCATCCCGCTCCCTGCTTGTGGCCTGGGAAAGCAGTTGAGGACGGCCCAAAGCCTTGGGGCCCTGCACCCGTGTGGGAGACCTGGAAGAAGTTCCTGGATCCTGGCTTTGGATCGGCATAGCATCGGCCATTGCACTCACTTGGGGAATGAATCATGGGACGGAAGATCTTCCTCTCTGTTTCTCCTCCTCTCTGTATATCCGACTTTCCAAAAAATAAAGAAATCTTAAAAAAAAATGCTCATCAAAGAGGAGATGGGAGCCAGTGTTGTTTTGCAGTGAGTTAAGCTGCCACCTGAAGTGCCATCACCCTGCAGTAGAATGGCTTTCTTCTTCTGAACCAACTCCCTGTTAATTAATTTGGGAAATCAGCAGAAGATGGCAAAAGCACATGAGTTCCAGTGTCCATGTAGGGACATCTAAATGAGGCTCCTGGCTCCATGTTACCTCCTGGACAACTCCTGGCCACTATTGTCAACTGGGAAGGACTTCTATAGGGAAGATGGCTCTCTCTTTCTGTCTCTGTCTATGTCTTTCTCTCTCTCTTTGTGTCTCTCTCTTTCAAATAGAGAAAAAGTTTTTAATGAAAACATTTTAATCAAAGAAGAGAAAACTGTATCCAATGGACAAATAGCACTGACTGTGGCACTAGAAGAAGTGTGCTCCTACTCTGAAACTAACCATTTTGTCTCAGCAGGCCCATACATGGCTAAGTTGAAGCTAACTATCATTCAACAAGGGACACTGCTTCCATGCCAATCCTGTTATCCAAGATAAAAGGCGTTGTTAGCTCATATCTGCCCCACCTCTCTTTTTGTTTAAAAATTTATTTTATTATTTTTATTGGAAAGGCGATATACAGAGAGGACGATCTTCCATCTGATGATTCACTCCCCAAGTGAGCACAATGGCCAATGCTATACGGATCCCTAGTGGGTGCAGGGTCCCAAAGCTTTGGGCCGACCTCGACTGCCTTACTGCGCCACAGGCAGGGAGCTGGAAGGGCAGTGGGGCTGACCAGGATTAGAACCAGGGCCCATATGGGATCCCGGGCGTGCAAGACGAGAACCTTAACCACTTGCGCCACCGCGCCGGGCCCTGCCCCTCCTCTCTTTGAGCACAACTGCTAGAGACCTTCCCTCCATCCCCTACTATCCCATCCCGCACCTCTGGGTCTGACCTTCTGGCTGCGTCCCTTTCCATATCTCATCTCAGTAGCAAACTCTTCGCAGTTTGAAACCAGGTAGAGATAGAAGCGAGTTACTCCAACTTTGGACTCTGAAAGCCGGACAATCTCTTCGATTGGCCTGGGGCGGTACTTGTTGTCTAAGTTGTTGTTGACCCAGTACTTGTCATTCTTGACGACATGCTCCAGGAGTTCGCGCTTCACTAGGCTTTTCAAAAGTTTATTTGAGTTGTCCTTGCTGCCAGAGATAGACGCGAACAGATCTGGGATCACAGACAGACACATCTTCAAGTGATGCAAGAAGGAAGCGAAGCAGGACGAATACAGCAACTCTACTCTCTGATTTTGCCTTGCCATTACACGCTTCTATTTCACTCTTTACGTTTAAAGTTTTATTTATTTTTATTGGAAAATCATATTTAATATGTGCCAGTGGAGACTCTAAGATGTACTATGTCAGCCAATGGATTCTGGAGAGATTTCATTGTGCTTGGAATGGCAGCATTTCAGAACTATTAACCACTATCGAAACCACTTGATCAGTACCTCTTGGAGCATGCCAAATGTCAGAGACCCTGTGATGGTTGGGCAGCTAGGTGTGGCTTCAACCTTTATCTCCCCCCTTCCGGTAAATTCAGAAAGGGAAAGAGACTGTGGAAATAAGGTCTTACCCACTTTAGTGTAGCCCTTGACTATAATCACCCTAATCAACTATGTAAAGATCATCAAAATAAAATAATAAAAAAAGATAAAAGTCTTGAAAAAAAGAAAACAAAATTTACACACTGAGGAGAGACAAAGAAACATCTTCCTATGCTGAATCACCCTTTACGTAGCCCCAAAAGCCAAAGCTGAACCAATCGGAAGAGAGTAGGACAGTAGCCTCATCTAGGGTTCCACCATGGGTGCAGTGTCCCAAGGCATTGGGGCAGATTTGATCAGTTTCTCAGGCCACAAGGAGAGAACTGGATAGGAAGCGAGGACACCAGGACACAAACCAGAGCCCATATGAGATCAGGTGCAAAAAGGCAAGGGTTTTCCCACTACGTGACAACTCCGGGCCCTACTCTTCAATCATTTAAGTGTTCAAATAAGTACAGGCCTAATTATGTCACACACAACACATTTAGCAACTGAATTCTTAACAGCATGTTATCCACATGTTCCTCTAGCAAGAAATATGCAAAATTTTGCAGGAGAGATTGGGGCTTCCATGATATTCCACTCTATGCAGGTACTCTTACTGAATTGCTTAATTTATTGATAGGCATCTTTGTTGGGTAAGCTACTACTGGGCTGTAGATGAGTACATCATAAAAACATTTATCTCTTGTGAATCTTTGAGCAAATGTCTGAATCAAAGATTTAAAAATTTTGAATATTTGCCAGGAGGAAGGGAGTCTCATTCTGCTTTTATAGAATTCTATCTTGGTTAAAAGAAAAAAATCTGCTTCTCTGTCTTCCAGAACAAATTTGGAGTCAGAAAAGTTATGTAAAATATCGAGGAGTCAGAAGTCGTGCCACAAACTTCTGAATCAACTCCTGAAACCTAGAAATTTGTACACTATGCTGTAGAACATTTGTGTCCCAATGGCAAAGGAAAACTTTCTTGTCACTTTCTTACTTTAGTCACCCAGCATAGTTCTGGACACAACAGAATTGTCAACAGGTGAAGTGCACTTGCCATTGTTTACAGAATAAAAGCTTTGGGTATCATCACACAGAGAGGAACAGAAGCCAACAACTCCAGTGAAAAATGCTGCTTTTGTTCACAGTTCACAACACCATACTGGCAAGTTGGCAACTCATGCTTACCTGGACCAGGCAGATGGACCACGTAACCATCTCCAACATAGACAGCCCAGTGCGAATAGGTCAGGCGGGAAATCTCAATGAGGTCTCCAGGCTGTGGTCTTTCACTTGACTGTAACACAAGAACCACAGAGCCCAGTCAGGTTTCTTGCAAGTGCCAGCAAATAGCTGACAGTGGGAGTGGCAGCATAGCTGCACAGCTGCCCACACAATGCCCAGCAGTGTTTAGCAAGCAACGTGGGAATGGAGACTCCATGACTGGTGGACTCACCGGAGGAACCCTGACAGGGGAACCAGGAACAGGATTTGCCCAGATGCACTTTGGGTTTGTGACCTCTGTGTATGTGGGTGTGTATCTGGGGTTGTGCGTGTGATTGAACTGCAAACACATCTACAAGGTAAAGAGGCCCTGCAGGCACCATCACCAGCCCCACTACACAAGGGATAACCTCCATGTTGCAGACAGACGCACACCTACGCAAAATCGAAATACTCGCTATTGAACCCATTCCTTAGCCTGGGTGTCAGCTCTGCCGTATGGCTATGCACCATGATTTTTATTTCCTGTGCCCACACTTTTGGTTGGGACACACTACTCTTCCCAGGGTTATCAGGCTCCTGGAGGAGGAAAAGCAGTCACTCATAAGCACAGTTCTCTAGTGCAAAGGAACCAGTCCACAGGCACCACAACCACCTGCTTCCCCAGTGTCTCATCCCAGAACAGGTAGCTAACTGTCTATGCCAGGGTCAGGTCCATTGTGGCCCTGAACCTGTGGGCATTGCCTAAGTATATCAATTCCCCACGTGTACCCTGTCCCATGCATCCTTCCCTATAGATGCTCTTGAAGGGCCTTGCCCACTGCCCCCCCCCAAGTCATTCCTCTACCTTCTGCTCAACCATAAAACTCTCCATGTGACCAGCCAGGAAGCATCTCTGAGTAACAAAGCATCCTTTCCATGGCAATTTTCTCTTGTTCCTGTTTGGCCCTTCTGATCAGATCACATTATCTTTCATCCTGAATATTTTAAGACAAGCTGCTCCTGGGGCAGCCTCTGCTTCATAGTCTCGCCCCAAGCTCTGGGTACTCATTCATTGCATACAGCAGAAGCAGAAGACTTCTTAAGGCCACACCACTGACAGTGGGTCCAATGCCAGGTATATGACAAACACACAGCCCTAAACAAGGGGGAGGAGGGCAGCAGCTGACAGCCGAGGAAGACTTGCTTCATAGAGTGCAATAATCCGCCAGTCTTACAAGGGAGACCAGGTTTCCCATTCACCAGTGCTGGCAGTTTGGAAGACTTACCCCCAATCCCTCAGATGCACCCAGTTCTGTGTACTCAGTTCTTCACATGCTCTTCCCACAACAGGTGCAGCTATCCTCCACATTTAGTCTCCCTTCCCTGAGACTGGGGGTGCCACACCCCAGACTCCTGGAGGCTGCTTTCTGTGCCCTCTTCTCTGTTTCCCCTGCTTTGGGTCCTGGCATCCAAGCATGGCACCTGCAAACCCAGCACTCATCACCCATCCCCCTACTGGATGCCTGGTGTCATCCTTCACTTCTCAACCAACCACCAAGGATAGTATCCACAATCCAAACATTTGTTGTCTCCTGAGTAGGAAGACTCAGCCTGGGTTCAGCAGCTTGTCCAGGCCAGCAGGGACACGGGCTCTTCCCATCACATGGTTCCCATGAGTACAGTGTGGGCTGCGCAGTCCACTGGCAGAGGAACTGCAAGGGCCACATGTCACTCAGCAGGGGATGAAAGGATGAGCAGCAGGTGCTCTCCACTACTTGGGAATAAAATCTTCCCCATAATGTTCAGGCTGGCTTGCTTGCATCCTTCCTTGGCCAGAACCACTGACATTTCTGCCACAAACCAATCAAGGCAAAGGGGAAGGAGTAACCCTGAGAGGCTCACACCACCCACAGGGCATCACCTGGGTCTGTGGGGAGAATCCCTGCTGTCCATGGACACCACCCATCACCCAGGGCTCTGTTCACTCAGAAGGAGGTACCTGACAATGGTGTGTGTGAATGTGTAGGTTAAGTAGCTATTGGTCGGTCAACAAACACCTTAGACATATACCTGCTTCTTATCCACAACCACAACCAGGGTCATTATAAGGCCATCAAGAAACTAGGCCAGTTCTCCATCAGAATCCTGTCAGGAAAGTGGAGTCAAAGTGGAGTACCGCCTAAGGATAGGGAGTGGTGTCTTGGGAGAGACCACAGAGGTCTCTGCAGGTGGTCAGGATCCCAGCAGAGGGGACCCACAGCTCAGACTGAGGAAGCCCACCAGCTAGTTTAGCTCCTGGGGAGGAGTGACAGCCAGCCAACTTAGGGCAAGGCACAGAAGCATGGGGTCATCCAAGGAGAGGCTAGCAATGAGGGAGGAAGAGGTTGGTGCATTCCAGGGGCAGGTGCACAATAATGGGAGCCCTGCTGAGGAGCCTTGGTGGAGTCAGGCACCCACTCAGAGCCTCTGTAGCACAGATAGTGCAAATGCTGACTTTAACCATCCCCAGGGCTAATGGAGGAACCACTGCTTCAAACAGAGCTCATCTGCTAACAGAGATTATTAGGTCTCATGCATTTTTGACTCTCATTAGCGTACTGTCATTCTGGACCATACTGGGTGGTTTGCACAGACAACTGGGTTCTGTAGTTGCAATCATTTCTGAGTCTTATTCTTGGGAGCTATTTTTCATTGCTGGTTCCTCCCACTAGCCCCTATGGGCTGTGTAGCAAATTTAGAAATCCTTGAATTGGATCGTTACTTAATACGTATAACTCTAGTATGCTTTTATAAAATGAATTGCCTCAGCCTTCCTTAGCCAGCCATTTAATGGCCCTCTGGATCAGATATACTCTGTGATCTAATCAACAGCTGCAGATACTCAGAAAAATGAGGGGATGTTGTATCCCTGCCTTTTTTCTTTTTTATCTTGGCTCTTTGTCTGTGTTTTCCATCGTTTTCTAGCCATGATGTAGTAAAGGCCAGCCAATTTTCGGGTCTCTGGTGCTACATGCTTCTCAATTCTGGCCTCTTTTTGCTATTTATTTCCACTCCACTAGCAAACCCCATTTTATCCTTCTCCACCTGTGGTCTCAGCTCCCACACTACCTCTGTGTCTGATGGTCTCTGTTTCTTCTCCTCATTGGGTGGGAGACAGAGATTTCCTATGTTTAAGCCTTCTTTTTCTCCATTTTAACCCTCTTGCCTAACTTGCTTTCTCAGTTTGTCTGCCCAGCCACCCTCTAATGCTGAACTTTCTCTTGCTTTCCCTCTTACCCGTTTTTGTTAGCTGAGAGTGGCAGGATAATAGATAAGCAAGAAAAAAAAAAGAAGAACAAAAAAGAACAAAAAATTACAAACTTGTTTTGTAACTTGATTTAACAGTTATATATAAAAATAATCTGTTATAGAGTTGTCCTAATCCACTGTGAAATTACTGCAAAGCGTGAGAGAAACCTATAGGCTAATTTTGCAAAAATAGTTCCAGGCTAAAGCATCCTGTAAAATGGATGGGAAATCATGAAAAGTTTGAGAGGATTGTATGATTATTGTCTCCCTGTTCTGCAGTGTCTGGTGATTGTGTATAAGTTCGTTTGGACATAGTTATTGTTGTTCTTGTTTTGAATTGGGTGCATGTGTGACTGACAAACGAACTGGGACAGACTAAGATTACCCCCGTCCTCCCCTGATAAATAATTCAGAGAGGTTTGACTTATGTATGATGACTTGGCCAGACCAGACTCCCCCACCCTTGCTGGGGAAAGATTTGATATGATTAACGTCTTCTAGCCTGGGAGATTTTTTCCTTTGCTGAATTAAGCTTTTTCTGCCATGTTAGAATTGACTAAAGTGATGAGCTTTTAGTATTTTATGTTTTTTGCTGCTTTTGTTTGGTCTTCACTTTCTATTTTGTTCTGGCACTGATCAGGTCTAACATACAGTATTTGTTAACATATTCAGTTAAATGTTAAATGTACTTTTTGTTTAACTCACTTTGACCTCTAAATTCTTCAAAGTTCTAAACCAAGTCTCCTGACTTTGGGACTTGCATCAGGATTCCTGGAACTCTCAAAGATTGAGACATAATTCAGAGAATATAATTGCCATTTAAAATAGTTTGGATTATAATCTCTCAATGTTATAAAATTATGCTAAATTTGTTGCATCATATATGTTATTAAAGTAAATGAATATTTATATAATTACAAAGAATGTATATTGATGGTTATGTTCATGTTTCCTAATCATGAAATTGATCCAGATTGTAAATTATTTGTTCTTGTTTACAAAGAAGTATGTGAGATTTTTGGCTTACAGTAAAACAACAAATTCTTTAAAAGTTATGAGATGATTTTCTATGTCAATTCCTGTGTTTAAGGTTATATTTCCCTTTTGATGACAAAGGAAATATACTTTTTGCCTTCCAGCTATGTAACCCCTTGGGTTCTCTGTTGTCATTGTTAAATTCCCTGCATTTTCAAGGGTGTTTTCTAATATGTATTTACTTTGAAATAATTGTGTGGTCATTTTATATGTGATAAAAATTTATTTGATCTGTTACTGTTTGAATTAGCCTGACTAAATGTATGCATATGTGTGTGTGTGTGTGTGTGTGTGTGTGTGTGTGTGTGTGTGTTCAAAGATAATTCAGATGTCAGGGAATGTAAAAGTGCCCCAACACTGGAATTGGTTCTTTTAGCAGATTCACAGACTGACAATCTTGAGTAGCACTCAGTGGCCTAGGAATCAGCCCAAAAGGCATTCTAGGCTGACAGGAAAGCCAGCAAGAGAAAAAGCATGTCAAGTGTGGAAGGCCAGGACACTGCTGTGAAGTGTGTCCCTCTGTTAGGGACCACTGTGATTCATGCCCCAGTGCAAAGAAGCAGCCAAAGATGGTTGTGCTCTTCTCTTAATGGAGAAGAGAGCTTACACTTTGTTTGTGTCCTTGTCTAATGATTCATGGGCTTGTTGTGGATTCAAGAGGCTTCCATAGCCTAAGCATTGTGCGTCAAGATCCTCAGGTGCATGCTCCAGTTTCTCTTCAGATTGTATAAATCTTTTGCCTTTTACTAAAGATTTCCATGGAGAAGAGCCTCAGGTGATCACTGATGTCACATATGAGTGCTAATTTGTTGAATTTACTAGTGTCACTGTGTACTGACTTCCCATGCAGGACCTGTATCTTCTGTATTGTATTAGAACTATATATTGTTAATATTCATACACTTTTCCAAGTAGTGTCTTGTGGATCTGAAAAGTCTTATAAGTAGGAAGAACTTAGAATACAGTGGCTATAGGTAGCCTGAAAGTTAGCTGGCCTGTAACTGCTCAGCCTGCACCACTGGCTAAGCTCCCAACAGGGCATGTTTGCCATCTCCATTTTCAGTTTTTACTAGACTTCACTAGGGTAGGATACCCTCACTGCTCTGAAGCAGACTTCATGTCTTCCTCATTTGCGAAGTTATTTGGGATTTCTCAGCTCATCTATTTATGATTCTTGTGTTCTTCAATTGCTAGTACAAGCCTTATTAGACTATAAATTAGTAGATAGCTTGCCTTTGCCTTAAAGTGTATAAAGTTCTGTAAAATCTTGTTATAATAATATAAATTATTGGGTTATTGTAAATGAAAACTAGTTTAAATCTTTTGCCATCTACTATGTGACTAGTAGGTTTTGTAACAGAATGTTTTCAATGTTGTGCTTTATGTTCTAGGCTATATGTCTTTCTGAAAGTCTTAGGGCTTGCAGTGATTGGTAAAGTATAATTGTTTTAGGAAATCTAAGACTTACCTGTTTCCTAGCTAGATGCAAAACACTGTAGCATTTTCAAGAATCAAATGGTATAACTGACAAGGTTAGCGAAGAAGTCAGCTTGCATTTAACTGTTCTGTAATCAGTTTATATTCTGATGCTACATGCTAATCCTTGTATTGTTACTGTGACTTCTGATTTATCTGGGTTAGCAATTTTTTGCAGCTGAGAAAACGTTTTATGTGTTCCACTGCATTCATTGAGTATCTGTCAAAATTTGAGACTTAAAGGAGTTAACTTAAATTGATATAAATCTAGTTCATAGTTTTAAAGTAAAGTAATGTTTACTCTGACAAATGTTGAAACCTGACAACACTTTTACAACTGAGCTCTAAAGCTCAAATATTCCAACTGGGGTTCTAACTGAACTCACAACCTGCTAGGTTAGGAAAGATTATAGCTATGTAATATTTTGCTATCTTGACTTCAACAAAGAGAAGCCTTTAAGTGCCAGGCAGTACTTTGGATACCTGATGACATCTACCTCCTATCAGGAACCTCTAAATTGACCTCTACTGCTGCTGTTCCTCAATGCCCCTTTTCAGCATGAATAAACTAGAGCAGTCATCGCCCCTTGTCCCTAACAGCCATTGCAGTATATTCCTCTGGAAATGTGAGGAGTCAGATGGGATGATAGGCAGTGAGGATCTCTGGTTCCTGATGAAACTAGTTGAACATTCAGGGATAGTGACGAATCACTGGTCAAAGTACAAGAATGCCTAGCTAAGAGAAAAAGAGAACTCAGGCCATCTTTTCAAAAGGACTTTTGATAACTAACCCCTCCCTCCATCCCTGTGTCATCCACTCAAATGTAATTTTTTTTTTGTTGTTGTTATCAAACCATTAACCAGTTTCTTTTGCAGGTCTAGGAGCATCACCACATCCCACATTCCTCCCGCCAGGTGGCAACCACCAAGAGAACATTGTGCTTAAACTCAGCTTGAAGAAGCCATGGAGAACAATGCCCCCTTTCCTTTTTATATATAACACCTACCAAATCAGCAAGTCCATTGCAATATTGGGACTTGAAGAACTAAGAGCTTCTAAAATGCCAGGTACTGCAGTATTGCTCTATGAATACTATTAGTGTTGCAGCATGAATAGTGGGGTTTTAGTGTGCAGTCTTAGGATGAGAAACACCAAGAAAGTTTGAATAAAAACTGTTTTGGGGATGGAAGAGGACAATCCTAAGGGGGCCTTACCAATGCACGAGGACTCTCGCCATATCGTAGATCGTCGACAAATTTCTCATGGATTTTACTAGTTACTTCATAATTCAACCTGTTTCGAGCTAGAATCTCAGCAGAAGCAATGATGTCACTCACAGGTTGAGGTCTGAATTTATGATCCAGGTGGTTGTTGACTCTGTAGGCACTGCCTTCTGCTGCATCCTTTAAGGGCTCCTTGGTTGCCATGGCCTTGGCCTGCTGATTGGTGAAGAAGCTAGAAATGCCACTACTACGATGCTCACCTGTGAATCACAGACAGGAAACAACACACAGGTAGGAAAGCAGACAGAAGGCAGGAGAAACAAAGACAAAACTTTCCTGTGACTGATCTTTCACAAGGAAGACACGAGATGGTTCTTTGTGTTTAATGAGATGTGAATATGTAACATGTCATACATTCAATCTTCAATGGCTGCATCATACAACAGTCTCATGATTTGCATTCTAAATGTGTACACATATCATCCCAGGACCGGTATTGTGGTGTAACACTATAAGAAGCTGCTTTGATGCTGACATCCAATATCAGAGAACCAGTTTTTGTTCCAGTTACTCCACTTAGGATTCAGCTCCCTGCTAGTGCACCCAAGAAAGCAGTGGGAGATGACCCAGGTGCCTGGGTCCCTGATGCCCACATGGACAACCCAGACGGAGTTACAGGTTCTTGGCATGAGACATTTGAGGAATAAACCAACAGAAAGAAGAATGCTCTTTTTCTTTCTTTCTCTCTCTCTCTCTCTCCTTTCAGATAAACTTTTAAAAAAGGAAAAGCAGAGCTCTGACATTTGTTTCAATGATTTCTTTGTCCAGTTACAATACACATGCTGGGGGAAAGCCCACAGCCCAGGACACGTAGGCATCTGCATCACACTTGTCAGGCTTTCTACAGTATTTATTTTTTTTTATTAATGATATGTCCATTCATCTTCTCATTGAAATGGCCTGTCTTCATTATCTGAAAACATTTTTTAATGTTTTAATTAATGATTGATTAATTAATTAATGTTTAATTCATTTGTTTATTTCACAGTCATATTTACAGAGAAAGGAATAGCCACAGAGAGAGAAAGAGACTTTCCATCTACTGGCTCACTTCCCAGATGGCTGCAATAGCCAGACCTGGATCAAGCTGAAACCAGGAGCCAAAGGTTAGTCAGTCTCTAGGCTGGATGACAGGGATCCAAACTTGTGGCATCTTCTGCTACTTTTCCCAGGCCATTGAGAAGAAGCTGGATAGAATGTGCAACTCTCAAGACATAACCCAACACCCATGTGGGATACTGCATTGCAGACAGCAACTTTATCTTTTACACAACAGCAACCCCATAACAATATGTGGAAAATCATATCTTCAGCTGACATTACCTGAGCAAGGAGTCAGGTGGATCACATAATCATTTCCCACGTAGATGGCCCAATCCTTATAGTTAGAGTGAAAAATCTCAATGATGTCTCCTGGCTGTGGTTCCACTGAAAACTACAACAGAAAAATCAGGATGAAGTAGATGGGGCAACAGCACAGACACTGGCTGAGGAGCTCCAACTCTGCCAGTGGGTCCTGGAAGTGTTCATCTCCTGATAAGATCAGAGAGTGTTTCTGCCTCCACTGTGAGAACCCTAGCACTGAATCAGTCTGTGAGGTTCCCCAAAGAGGCAAATGGAACAGCGCCACCATGAAGAAATGACTATGTGTGTTGGGAGAGAGGAGCTGATCTGGGATAAGTGAGTGTATGTGCACATGTGGAGGGTGCAGATGGGCTGGAATAGTTGCTCTGTGTGTGCATCTTGTGATGGGATGCAACCATTGCTGCTTATACAACTTGTCGTGTTAATAGGGTCACACCCCACTCTTCCTACCTCTTCTTGCATCATTCAAATGAATTGAAGGTGGAAAAGCACATCCCACCCCTCCTGCCCTCCACACCTTTCAGAACAACTGACAAAGTGAAAATTGCTCCAGGGGCTCTGCGCACCTGTCACCTCCCACCTCCTATTGTACTAGATCAGGTGAAGTATAGGAAAACTTTGGGCTCTGGTAACTCGCTGCCTGCCTCTTGCACATGGAAGCTTTGCTTGTACTGCGTAGTTCTCATCTGATTGGAGGATGAGAGCTTAAAAACCCCTAACATTGGCAGCTTGGCAAGTGGCTCCTGGAGTGTAGCAGGAGCTGCTGTCACCAAGCTTGGGCAATAAAGACTCCTCCTAACATCCTACACTTGGGTCTGGTGTGAGCTCTTTCTCACTCTGGAACATGCCTGAAGGCAGGAACACCAAGATTGAAAGGATGAGCAACTTCACCAAGACTGGGTGCAGTACTGTGAAGGAAAGAGGGGTTGGTCCACTCCTTGGCCTTTGAATATCCCTCAGCCCCTCATCAACCTCATGCCCATGCCTGTCCATGGCATTACCTTCATCAGACCCTGCCACCTCACCTCCCAGTCAGGACTCCTGTCTCTCACATAGGATGAGCCAGGAGACAGAAACTGGTGACATGATGGGACCTGATCTTGCAGTGCAGACATGTGTGACTGTCAAGCCCAAGCTCTGAGGGAGCTGTCCACTCCAGTAGCCAGACTCTGCTGGTCATCATCCTGGGATAATCACAGCCTCACTACAGCCTCAGGGAGAACATTCTTGTCCCAGTGCATGGGTGTGAAAATGCAGGATTAGAAAGTAGATGGGGTGACTCACCCACATCACTCAGCTGGGAGGATGGAGCTGGGCTCTGCCTGCCTCCCCTTTCTCCCTGATCAGCACTTACTTTCCCCCTCATGCCCTATCCCAGGGTGCTGCAGCTCCTGTGGTAGTTTTCTGTTGTGTCACTCTTTGTGCCTGTGTTCAGGGGACTGCACACCTCTTTGTCCTCATCCTAGACTATCCGGAGCCTAACTCAGCTTACCTCTGCCTGTCTCGGATGCCAAAATCGGACAGTAGAACCAGTCCATGCTACTCCTGGAGCACATTCTGATTCATTTCCCCATCAGTTCCTGGCCTCCAACTCGTCTAGACAGCTGACCCTGACCTGCTGACTGGCCCTTCCTCTCTCTTTATTACTCTCCCTGGGTTCTGTCACCCACAGGCCCATGAACACCACTTCCTCACCTCCCTATTGCCACCCCCCTTTGCTGATTTGCACATCCTTTTGGGTCTCTGCTCCAGCCGCCTCCTCACATCCACCCTTCCTCTCTCCCTCACCATCAGACACCTGGCTCTTGGGGCCACCCTCCCTGCCCAGGTTGCTCAACTGTTCCTCTAGGGTTCAGGTGCACCCACCTGTACCTCTCCTTGCACAAGCCACACTGGGCTGCAGTCCCCTGTACCTGCTGTACCCCTCTTGGCTGGGAGATATACATCCTTCCCTGCCTGTGTCCCCAGTATCCAGCCAGGCCTGGCATCATTGATGGGACAAATGTGGGAAACCAGGAAGAGGGTCAGTGGAGACAGGTCTTTTTCCCTGCTCAGCCCCAGGCAGTCACATCCTCTTTATCGGGGAACCATGAGGGAACTTGTGAAGCATGGAAAGGACACTGGCAAGCACAACTTGTGACCCAGGACATATAAGCTCAGGCCCCACCTGGGAAGGAGATGATTGGTCAGCAGCAGAGTCTTGCTTTCTTGGGCAGCAATAAATATTAGAATCTCAGGGTTTATTGCTTGAGCATCAATAAATCACTCGGATCAGGTGATGCTCACAAGGCCCGCTCATGAGTCTGCAGCCACCTTCCCAGAATCGGCTCATTTCCCAGCAGTGCCAAAGTCCATCTGTTCCCTTTCAGCAGTTGCAGCTGCACAGAGCTCCTGCAAGCTCTGCCCCTCTGAGCTGATGGCAAGGGGAGGTGGAGAGAGCTAAACACTGAAATGCTGTGGGAGATTGCCCTTCAGTCTCTACCTGCTTAGCCCACGTTGTGGCAGTAGGCACACTGTGACCCTTGGGGAACCCCAGATAGGAGACTTGGCTAACTGAGATCCCAACCTAGCCTGTTCACAAGACATACAGCAAGAGCAATGAACTGCTCTCCATTCTCTCTTCTAAGTCTCTTGAAACGAGCTATGCTAGGACTTCCTCGGTAAACAACTCTAGGAAGTAAACTGTTAACATTCATTCTGTTTTTCAGCCATGTAACAAGTTTGCCCTGGGATATAGCTTCCTATGCTTGTTGTGCTTCATGACCTTTAACTTGATTGGAGGGTACAGGGAGATAGACACACCTACTAGGTAGTCACAACATTATTGTTGGGTTAAAGTACTATAGGGACTGCCCTTCTGACTACCCCTTTTTCCTATTCTATATAAGCTTGTAACTTCTTTCAAATAAATGGACGTTCCTCACCAGTTTGTCTCTGATGCTCTGCTCTAGAAGAGCACCGTTGACTCGCCCAGAATCGTGACAAAAGACCCACGAAAAATTGGTGTTTCCTTATTTGAAGATTTATTTGAAAGGAAGAAAATATCTTCTACCTGATGCCCAAATGTCTTCAATGACTATGGCTGAGCCAGACTGAAGCCAGAATTCACGAGCTTCATTGGAGTCTCCCACATGGGTAGGAGGGACCCAAACTCTTGGGCCGTCTTCTGCTGCCTTTCCCAGGCCATTAGCAGTGAGCTGGGTCAGAAGTGGAACAGCTGGGACAGGAAGCAGTGCTTCTGTTGGATGCTGGTGTCACAGGAGGTGTTCACACCTACCTCACCATGGTGCCAACCCCTATAGCATTTCCCAAGTCAGGATAAATGACCATGAAAGGAGGACAGACAACAGCCAGTTGAAGGCTGATAAGAGGTGGAATCCCAGTCAGCAGCAGTGGTAGACATCATGGGGATACCTCATATTTTCCAGGGCCCAGGATGTCTCCCAAAGGCCACACTCTGGCTCCTTCCCCAGCTGTGTCTGGTAAGCAAGGGCCCTTACTGAGGCAGGTGAGGCGCTATAGCCCCCATCCAAACCTGGTGAGCCTGAAACCCACACTAACCCTTCTGAGAGGAGTCCAGCTCCAGAGCAAGGAGCAAAGAATTGCTAAGTGACAAGGGCAGTTCTCCAGGAGAGCTGGTCATCTACCCATGGCAGAGATGCAGGGAAAGTCCCAGGGAATTCCCACAGCCAGGGCGGTGGCAGGCTCCTGCTTATCCCAAGGCCCAGAATTTTACCTTTGGTAACCTTACTATATAGTTTACAAAGCCCATAAATGGG